TTGTGATGCATGGCATACAGTGTCGGAGAAGAAAAGGTTTTGAAATATTTGAGTAGTGAGGGTTATTTTTGTAGAAAATTAGAGGAAATTTTTTATAGCAAGTTAATATGGGGAACGCTATAAGCAGGACCAACAAAAATCAACAAATGAAAATCCAGAAAAAGGGCAGTCCTCTAAATTTAGTTCCATATACCTGATTCATCTCTGGAATCTTACAACTCTTACAACACAATCCAGTTACGTTTTACCCCTCTTGTGATCGGATTTAGTTGAATACAGAGATAATTATGCAGAATGAAAAAGGGGTGGACAAAAGAAAGAGTTAATATGTACGACTGGTAAATATAAAATTTGCAATGTGGAAAGACAGGAAACGTTTAGATGGATATTTAGGTTAGCGTAGGCACATTGCAAATTTTCATTTGTAGTTTATTATGTGATTACTCATTGAGGAATTTTACAGATTTTTCTACTAAAATTGTTTCGGTTTTCTGACCAAATATTTGTTGTCTTGAAAGTTTGTCGATGGTCAAACACAAACAGGGATGTGGAAGGCTTTATCTTGATTGCAGAATAAGTAGTTCAGTTGACGTAGCAATCATGGAAGAAAAACAGTTGGCGTCGGTTACGCCTAGTTTATAAACCGGTAAGGTTATTGAATCTTTATTAATATAATACGATTTTAAAATGAACAGTGCTAATAGACAAAGTAGGAGGGAGGGAAGAGTATTTCGTGTTGTTGTAAGTTGCCTTTTGGCGAGGGAAGTGCTACGAGTTGTTTGTAATTTTTTTTTTTTTAATTTGTTAGTATCAGATTTATATATGTGTTAAGAATTGGGAGTGTTTTCTACAAATAACACATTTCATTTGCATACACGACAGATGCTTACAGTGTAAGGATCGTAGCAAAATCATATCGGAGATTAACGTGTGATTTTCAGCTAGATCAAGATAACAAAAAGAAACGCATGAAAAATGAAGTTGAAGAACCTAAAATTGGGTAAACGATTAATAACTCCCTTAACAACTATTCACAATTTAAATGATTAATTTTTGCACAAATTTAAGTTTCGCGATATTGAAATCCGCGACAATATCCAGTGGTTTGTTTCTGGACGTTTTTGGCTCCCTGCTGTCATCTTAATTTTGCAACATTTGTTTATGTTTTCTTCTCTGTACCTTCTAAAATTTGTTGAATGTATGAATGCGTTTCGACCACTGATATATTTATATGAGCTACAGACAACGATCATTCACTGCTGTCGTGGTGTTACCTTTTATTAGTAGGTCTGTTGCTTGTTTAAATCGTTTCATATTGGCAAGTGTTTAGCGTCGATGTATAAAATTCAAAAGCAACTCCAACCAGGTCAGTTTTTTCTTTTTTTGCAATCTTCCGTTGCATTTAAACTTGATTACTTGTGATGTGTTCAAGTGTTAACCAATGTTGTTTGCTTGTAAATGAGTAAATTAAGTGACAGAAACATTATCTTCAGTGACATGGAATTCAGTTTCCAGCCATCACAAACTGGCACTGGACTACAACACTGGTAGCAGCGGACAGGGTCTTCTTTCCCCGCTGTGTTTGCCAAGCCGTTCCCTTGGCTGTCGTTTCGCTAGATAGTAGATAGGGACAGTGGGAATCTCATTAATCCATTTTTTTTTTTAACCATCACTGATGCGACTCGAACTTCTTGCAGTCCCTAGTATGCACTTTTCCATAATACCTTTGTTAATGCTGTAGCGTCTTTTGTCATACGCAGGCATGCATTGTTCATTGACTAGCAATTTTGTTTCCCGTCATGTTATTGTATACTTCATCTTATCTCACACTTTATTTGGTTGTGATTTAAGTCTTCTTGTAAGTGTAAGGTCCAACTGAGCAATTTGGAGCACTTTTTGCTTAACTCCCCTGAAATTTTCAGGACTTTCTGAAGAAAACTTTGTTATACACTTGCTGAGCTTTAAAAAGATTAACTAAGTCGGGTAAAAAATTCCCGAACATATTTCCTGCAGCAAATTCTGGTTTCTCAATTATTGCGGCAGTGCCTTTTGTGCTGAGATATCTTCACCACTAGCCTTGCGGAGACCTTTGTCATATTAGTATTGCCGCTTAATTTTCTTTTTTTTGCGAAGCAATTCTGGAACCACAATAACGAAGATTCAAGAGAATAATGAAAATCTGACCTGTTTCCTTAAATTCAATGTTGCCAATTTGTTGAAGCACAGTCTCGAAATAGAGATACCGGATTCGAGAGGATTTAATCATTTCCAGAATCATTTAAAACGTTTGCTATAATTGAATTTTACTATAATTTATTGGCGTTGAATGCAACCGATCAGCACTATAATGAGGGTACTTTGAATGATAATATGAAGTGTTACTTGGATCGAAAAACGATTAGAATAAATGCTCTACCCCAGTCTTTGCGGACTAAAAGACAACGAGAAATGATGCCTTGAAGTTTGAAGGGTAAATTAGGAAGCTTTACGATACGAATATAATTACTGAACATGCAAATTTGGAGATTTGTGAATTCATATCAGCACTGCAAAAATGTGTCATCAAAGATTAAGATTTGGTTTAAGCTTTCTAGATTTCAAAGAAGTACATAACATCATACATGACATGAGTGTTAAATGCTCTAGTCACTGAGAATTATTTTGTAACATCTAAGTACATTGTATTCAATATTTCATATATCACTTCCAAGTACCTTTCAAAATGAAGAGACAAATTCATGTCGTAAGTCAGTAGCATATTAACACAGTTCATATATGAGAGCAAATTATTCGGCTGAAACGGTTGTTCTTATAATTTAAGACACCATGAGTTACCGAAATATAAATTGCTTTAAACACAGGAGATACATCTTATTAACCGAGAGAAAAGCACAGCTCAGGAATTAAAAAGAAACAAGTAAAATGAATGTTGTTTCTCCTCAAACACTTGAACACTGCAACGACATATACAGTTCACTCAAAAACATACATCTTATCTCTATTATACAAACACTGTCCTGCCCATTACCAAGAAAAGTGAAAAGCCTTATTAGCACAGTCTTTCGAATTTATTAAAAGGCAATTAGAGTTCATATTCCAAATGAGACGGAAACTAGGACTGCATCAGAAATACTCGGAGAAACGCTGGAAGTTAAGAACTAGATTCTGCAATAGTATGAGAACAAGAAATTTCAAGAGAATTACCAAATATTGAAAATAGGCTTACATATGGAACCAAGGATACATTATGTCAAAAACAGAAAACAATATGAAGTTCAAACAGTAAAAACAGCACATAAATGCATTCATGTCGATGAAAGCAATTGATGACAAAGGTTTGAGCACCTGATTACGAGATATCTATTACTACTTATATTGCTTTGCTACGGATACCAAAATGTTTGTAATTTTGCCAGATAAAATGTTCATTAACGAAATGAGGGCAACAGTTACATGCTTTATTTGAACTAATATATTATACTATTGAAGCTATACACAAAATATGAACGTTGCAAGAAAAGAAATTTCTGAACGGTTCCTCTCACTCGCGACTATTATCTTACTCTTTCATAAAAATATTTTTCTTGAATTACAAAACCAAATCTTGTCATGTATTATAAAACATGTGCTTTGCCGACTCACTATATCAGCAGAACATATAATTAAGAAATGGAAAGTTTAGTTACCTTAATTATTCAACCTGACCATAAACGTACAACAAAAAGAAAATAACGCAAACAACAGTAACAGTGTTGATAAAGTTCGTAGACAGATCATCCATCAATTTTGCCTAACATTGCCTTCTTTGGAATTTGAAATATGAATATAAGATATTGCAAAACAATTCATACGCTTCAAAACATTAACTGGCATCAAACTTCATCTTAACACCCAAATTTGCCCATAAATTTCGTTGCAACAATTATATCATATATTAGATAAATAATAACCACTCACCTCGTTGGCACTTACCAATATAGACGCATTAAATGACTAGAGCGCAACAACGATCAACGAAAACAAAAGCGCGCTACGTTACCTAACTGTTGAAAAATCACCCACCCACACAAGAATGCAAAATAAGTCTAAACAACTACATCACAGCTTACATTTGTGCCTCATAGATTCCCACCGGCAATACCATAAAAATTATAACTTCGGCAATGAATCTCAAGTAATGAATTTATAGAAATACGGCGGAATTGATTTCATCAAGGAAATTGTGAATGCACCGTAACCTCAGTGAAACTGCAATTCGCACATTGTAAATCATACATTAAAACACTAATCATGCAAATGGTTCTACTCCAGACGGTAAGAGGCGAAACTCAGACCACTCCGATTAAATAAATCACTGCCGCTTATAAGCTGCTCCTACCACAGACACATCATAAGCATTTCACAACTGAGTTTAATGTTTAAAACTGAAAAAATCAGAAATAAGCACCTGAAAGATTAGACTATTGCTAAAGCTATCTTACATGCGCACCACATTCAAAACTAATAAATCAACCAATCATGAAAGTTGGTTTATCAAGAGACCATTATTCTATATCTTTTTAGTACTTTTCGCCCCTATTAAAACATTTACAGTGCTGCAAGACCAAGAAAATCACCACGAATAACGAATCCATTTCGAAACAGCAAGAACATATGACATCAAAGCTTTGATGACAACCATATATAGGAAATGTATTCTACAGGAATATTCCTAGCATACAAATTTGTAAGAAAAACCTTCATAGTTATGCTTAGGATAACATATGTTAGCAAGACACCAGAGAAAAAATAACGAATGCTGACACTGAATGAAACATATGATTTGGCAGGATGATGAGTCAAGACTGTAATAGGAACAATCTAACTCGAACTCATTTTTGGTTTAAATTCACAAGGAAATGATAGTACGACAGTTCTTAGCCGTTACCATCGGAAAGACGAACTTCTGAAGAACTTAGTCAGTTCCGAAAACTGGCTCAACAAAAATGTACTTAGTTCTATCAGATATGCGGCAACTTCGAAACTGAAATATAGTAAGCAAAAATCAAATTTTATATCTAATGAAAAAGGGAACCACGATGCATTACAACTAAAAAAGGAGAACTGGAAAACGTAAAGTGTTTAAACGAGAAGCAAAATTATCAAAAATTCATCAGTTTGCATTATGCGAACAACAAACCAAGAGAAGCATCGGCACTAGTATCCATGGAGATAAGATTAACACAACACTCCGGAGGTCTAGGCAATCGTCTTCGCAGCCAAGGATGCTTCAAAGCTTGTTGAGGAGTTAGTCGCTTATCTGGATCCCAGTCCAGACACTGCCTCAGAAAATCAATGAATAAATCATCGCCCTGAAATGACTAGTCATAAAAGTTTTCGACAAACTTGAAAAGGACATTTTCTATTTAAAGCTTTCGCAGTAAATATATTAAACAGGTGCCTGATTTTTCAACGCAGAATTCCAAGACCGACTTCCAGGAGGACCTCTTGGTTTACCGCGCTTTGATCGCCCTCCTGAGACTGCTACAGTTCCATCAGACATTGTAGTTATAGTGCAGTACCGTGGATAACCTCTCGATGAAATGAAATTACGCGTTCTTTTGGCATTCTCAGTGACTTTAAGAGGTGGCACACCGAGCAATTCAATTATTAATGCTAACTGAAAAAAAAAAAAAAAAAAATCTCAGACACAGACAAACGCTGTGTTAGGCTAATGTGCAACAGAATTGTTGTTTGATACTAACTTTTCTAAACAGAGATCTTAAGAACGAAAAAGAGATGCAATTAGTGGTAATATAGAATGGATTAGCGAAATTAGAAAAACCTGATCACTTTCATCTTCTCCAGGTAATAGTGGATATCCAGTAAGTAATTCAGCTAGTATGCACCCAAGTGACCACATATCGATGGGCATCCCGTATTTTCCACCCATAATTACTGTAACATGTCCCAATTTAAATTAGTGATAAATTCCAGAAAGCTCACCATAAAGTTCCGTTTTTTCCTACAAACTTACCTTCTGGAGCTCTATAAAACCTCGATTGGATATAAGTATATACTCGCTGATCATCAAAACATGAAGAACCAAAATCAATAACCTACAAATATTTTGAATGAATTGGATCAATCCACAAAACAATTTCTTCAAAAAGAAAGAACGGGACATTAATCGAACTAAATGAGCCAAATTAGACAAGGAAAAGAAGTGAAATCAAAAAAACAAAACCTTTATGCCACTCCTACCCTGTTGTTTCAACAAAACATTCTCTGGCTTTAAGTCACAGTGAATAAGACGGTTACGATTAAGCAAATCAAGACATTGTAGCATTGAATGCGCAAATTTTCGAACGAGCTAAAAGATTGTTTCGATAAATGCAATAGCAGATTTCGGAATGGCAAAGAAATTTCCCATAAAAGATTACTTTTGAACTTCACAGCTGTAAATAAATGCATGTTATTGGAAGTAGCTTAAAGAGCTTATATACCTGTAGACTAAATCCCTGGAATTTGTTCTTCTTGATAAGTTCATACAAATTAATGCTCAACAACTCGAAAGTAATGCATTTGTGATTTCGGAAATTGAAATGATCTAGCATGTGAATGATATTATAAGCACCTTCTGGATCTTGCCTTCGTAAATGATCCTGAAAAGTACTGTATAGCTCTCCCACAGAACACGATCATTCTTAAGCGATTACTACTTTAAGTAGTTGTAAAACATTTTAAATCAATTAACTCTATCTCGTTCGGCAAATGGTTAGTATTTCACATAATACTGAAGAAAAAAAAAATAATAAAGGTTGGTTTGTAAAACTTACGAGAATTCGAATTTCTTCTTCTGCCTGACGGTGAAAACGCTTTTCGTTACGAACTAATTTCAGCGCAACATATTGCTGATGTTTGTGATCATATGCACGTATTACCTATAAATATATTTTGCTAGACCAGACCCAAAATCAGGCTAAACATTCCTTTTTCACTCTTCGAAGTCATCGACCCTTAATGATGCGTGAAATCATAATAGCAGTAACAAACAAATACAAACCTGACCAAAGCTTCCTTTACCAATAACTTTCAACACCTCATAACGATATGCGATATGGTCATGCGCAACAAGAAAGTAGCTTCCCATATCATCGTCATAACCGCAATTATTCTGCGAACTGATGTTACCACTTCGTTTTTTCGCTTGAGATCCAACAAAATAAACACGAGGATAATTGTAAATTTCTGAGATTTCGAAGGATGTGAGCTTACCTCCAAACGTCCGCACTGCATCTTCCGGACGATATCCCTAAAAGCTCGTAATGCAGAAAAATGGGAACAGAATAGATATTTTGATATTTGGAAAAATACCTTATTTCCACTGCTGGTATTTGTATTTGCTGTCCCATTTGAATTGCCGCCTCCGCTACCGCCGGAAGATGATGTGCGAGACCTGAAAATTATGCAATTTTTGCACATCCTATAGTTTCACCAGAAAAAACATTTATGTACGTATCAAAAGTACCTCAAAGATTCATCAGATGGGCTTTTAACAATCTGTTGTCGTAATTCGACGCCTTGTCCAATTACCGAAAGTGTAGAGATAGATGACGAAAGATGTTTTGAAGCGGACGATACGCCAGATGACGTTGAGGAGCCGCCACCTTAAATTTTGCCCAAGTAATATCTTACAAGTAATCAATTTTACATACGCTATTTTGAATATTAATATGATTTATTGGTTCTACTCTTATTCTAGGCTAAAACGAATCAGCAAACATTACAGTGCGAACTTTAGAAACACCATCAAAATGTGTATCAAGTATAATGAAAATATACCAATTACACTGTTACTCGTTGCTGATGGAATTGTTGCTGTTTCAATGACACCACCACGGGTGAGCACTTCAATCATAGTCTGAACACACAGTGATGGTAGAACATCGATGATTAACGATGTTAAGCTGATGACTTTATGTGATGTTCGTTCGTGAGGCTGCACGTGTCACAATTTCTAATGTCTCGTGCACTACAACGTAGGAGAGGGACCATATCACGACATAGAAAGAATCATAGCTGTGAGATTAACTCAACAAGGAATAGCATGCGAGTTAAGCACGCCAACCACCGCTCAACACAAATCTATTCTCAATTATTAAGTAAAAACATGTATTACTGCAAACATTTAAAAAAAAAAAAAAAAACTTTTAACTAGCTATGGTAGAAAATAAGTTATAAAAGAGTAATCTTATGAGATCTACTTAAAACATGTCAAAAAAAGACAAAAGGTTTCGACAAAAAATCCCACTTTGTTACTGCAGTATGCAACCTTCTTTAGTGATAACCCTAAAGTAGTAGTTTTAGAGCAATTCTTTTCCTGAAGAGATAAGAATGAAGTCTGACCAAATCGACAATGGAAAATGTTTACAAGCTTTAGGCGCTTTCCTTGTTGAGTCGTGATACTTTGCTGCTTTTTATCCTACCGGCAAGCGAGAATGAACAATGCTTGCTGTCGGCGAGATCAATAGTGATGGTGAATTTTTCACTGCTGCTATCACTGGGCCTCGCTTCAGCGCCAGGCGAATATTACAACAAAAACGCCTCTCCCAAGACCCCGCGATTTTTGCTGAAGTAAAAAAAACTTTTAAAATGTGCATTTCCGTAAATACAACACTTCACTTTCATATCATTAGGATGTCAAGTGAAATTCAACATTGCGCTTCACAAAATAAATCAGCGAAGTTTCAGTATGTACTGAACCAATGGTAAGTGACAAAGCCGTTCAGGAAAAATGACAAAATCACTATTACCAATCAAAAATACTGATATTTTTATTAAAGCGAGTAGGCCAATGTTAAGAGTTCAAGGAGTTTTGCTAAAGAAGTTCTAGGTAATCTGAACATGCTAAATTGAAACAGCAATTGTTATCGTTCAACAAAGGAAAAAGCTTAAACCAAATCAACCTCAATGATCAAAGAAGTGAGCAATTAGAGTACAGAATAGTAACATTTTAGCATGTAACTAACCAAAATTACACACACACATTACTCTACCTTTCGAAATAAAAATTTGAATGCAACTATACCCCCTATCCTTCACCACTGTGCTTCAACGCTACTACATAGTATGGACAAACACAAGGGGACGGTGCTGCGAGACGATAGACTAAACATGCACATATACATACACTCTAATGAGGACACTGATCGTCCTAGTCAAAGGACCGACAATTGGAGATATTGGCGAGATTGCGACAAGCTTCTAGAATTTATTAATGCTCACAACTGCAGCAGTCATAGATTAGACCAAGCAATGCGATAAGTGTCGGAGATAACGGAAGCCACTTTAGAACAATTGAGATAGGAGCATCGAGTCACACAGCCTGCAGATGGACATGCTGTAGAGGTCGTCACACAACAGATCAACAATTCAACAACCTTGGAGCAAGTCAACCAGAAAGTCAACACTATCCTACTCTTTCACTCCCCTTTCTCGTCAGAGACTTTTGTTGTACTACTGCTGCTGCAAATATAGCTACTGAATCGTTGCTGCACAATTATAATTCAACTCAAATGCGGGTGAATGCACCATCATCATCAATACCATGACCGCAACCGCGAACATCACTATCATCATGCTCATTTTATCATCACCAACAACATCATTATCATCATCTCTCATCAGTACTGCTATTATAATGAAATCCCTTCATCCTTTACATTACCTGCACTGATTACACTTCCCTGTCGTCAAAAAACATTCTACAGTCAAATATTGAAAATGAATGTAGATAAAATTATGTACTCCCTCGTAGTCCATCCAACACCATTCCATAACTTTTTACATAAACATTTTTGACGAGTTCTAACATTTCTTTAATCCGACAAGCTTCTTCCAAAGCACAGTAGTGGTGTTAAAGCAAAACATTCGTTACAGTGGTTACCACTCATCTAACTTGTTCCATCTTACTCGAGGTTAGCAAATTCCTAAAACTAAAACGGTAAGCCCCAAAATGGTGTTCGAAACAAAGCAAAGCAGGAACAAATAGAAAACTGTGAATGAAAACAATAAAAAAAAAAAAAAAATTCTGATTTGGAACAAAAGAAAAAACTGTTATCGATTTGAATGCGGCAACAACGTTGTAATGTTTGCCACTGGCAAAAACGGATATGTTTGTGGGTATATGTATGTTGTATGCATTACTTGTGTCTGTATTTATTTTTATGTGTATAACATGAGGTTGGACGTGAATGTAGGTTTAGATTGGCAGTTTATTAATAATTATTAGTGGTGGTAGCATTCCTATGAATCAGCATAAACTCTAATAAAACTTAAACATGGATACAAGTAATCAGAGGCATCTCACTGGGCGCTCAAGTTGACTTTTAAATGCAAGAAAAAGGTAAGAAAAGTGAACAAAAGACGAGACGCTCACCTGGAACTCAATCCGCTCGAGTCAAAACAGACTTTTAGTGCTTCAGTAACCTTTCAGAACGTTACTTCTTCAAATTTCAATAATTTGGGAACGAAGTCGAGTAAGATTTATCTACCCAGAAGCTTACATTTCTCTGCGAAGGGGCTTTCCTTTCAGCACTGCTGAATCACATTATTTTAATAATTGCTTCTATTTAAACAATGATTATTTAGCTTATCATCTCGAAACATCAGCCCTCTACCTCTTCTTTCATCGCTAGTGAACTCGTACTGCGGCAAACAAATTCCTCCCCAAGCATTCAAATATGCAACTTACAGGTTCGCTAGTTATCCACTGCATTTAACCATTTATTTGGGCGTCCATAAGATCAAGCTTTTCACAGTTCTGATAACGTATGTCTAACAGATCTAAACACCTAATGCACTGACATTATTAAGAGCTCTTTGTAATGATCACAAATGTCGTAAGAAGGAAAAAAAATAACATCACAGCACTTGGGACAAATCTTTGTGAGTTGCTGATGTCAGTAGAACAAATCTAGAATTGGGACAACGATACCCCAACTTCTTTCGTAATTATTACCATAAGGTAAAAATATTACGAAATACCACTCATCATTAAAGATCAAATCCTCCAAGAAATTCTGGGCCTTAGTCCATTACAGTCTGCCATATTCCGAGGTTTTTTTTTTAAAAAAAAGCTATTGACAAGCTGGCACGTCCCCAAGTCTTTAATGAGGACAACAGAGGCAGTAGAAATCAATGAATAAAATGTTAGTCACTAATAAAAATACGATAAACTACCAAGGAATGTTTCAGAAGCACTTTTCATAATGACATCTGCATTTCTGACCTTTTTGATAACATTTTAATCTTTATAATTACCTTCCTACCGTATTTCTTTGTTGCTCCATAAATTCTTTTCCTTCAAGCATTTCGATCAGCGCTCCAACTAACTATAACTAGAATGGCAGTATTCTCAAATAACTGAGTCGATTGAAATGTTATCTGGATGAGTGACGAGTAGTTTCATTATCAGCATTAGTACATACTTCGCTTCGCAACGACAAAACACAATATTTCAAACTTCTTGACAATCCACAAGCGATAACACCTCAATAATTTCCATTTATTCACATCCATTTACATCCGGGACCAAACAACGAGAAAGTTTATTTGATTGTATAGGCGGTGAATACCTGTCGTCACTGTGACGACGAGTATGCAATCACTGTAAGTTGCACATCTTGCAGTCAAACAGATGATCATGAGTAACGACCAATATACAGCAAAAAGAAGCACACATTTAAATGCAACCATAACAGTGATAGCACGATTAAGTTCCACACAATACGAGTTATTTTAAATACTCTGCGGTGGATCTTGTTTCTTAAGAAACCGAAATTGTAAAAGCTAGCTACCTCAAATCAAATAAAGTTTAACATGCTATAATCCATTGCGCGTAAGAGTTACTATTTTCAAGCATAAAAGACAAGTCTACAGAATTTTTATAAAAGCTACTTTTAACTTAATATTCCTGGTTTACTACAAACCTTGCTTACTCATTTTAATCTTGCCACATATTCCAGGTTGATTTTACTCAAAAAGAGCGATTAGTTCCAATCATCTATGACTATTTGAAAAATACCCAACAGCTATTCATGAAACTTAATATTAAATCACCTTTAACATTATTACCATTAAATTCTTCATTTCACGGGACGCAAAGATGACAGACTAACCTTAGATCTTTGAATAATGAATCTCGAAAGACGGAGGGTAAGAAAATACATTTGATAAATATAATATCCTGAACTAATATCATGATGCGATAATGCATAGTAGTGCAAAAATTTGCTTGAGGAATATTACAAGGTCAATTGTGTTCGTTTCTCAAGCATCCTGCTCATTCAAGCACCCTGCTCAATTCCATTCTAATCCATTTAATTTTCTATCACTTAGCAAACTTCTCATTAATCCAAATTCGGGATTCTCAGCTTCGTAACATTCTCATTCCTGTCAGATGCATTTCCCCAACTCTCATAAAACAGTGTAATAATGTATTCGAACACGATCATATTGAATGTCTACTGAAAGAAATGAAAAGGAAAACTGTAGCTACACCCGATGTACGACCTATCAAAAAAAAAGAAAAAAATGATTGGTAACGTAAGGGATGCTGAAAGATACAATCCACAAGGTCTACTTGTTGTGTGCGCTGTAATAACAATTATCAAACCAGAATAAAAAGTGGGTACAATCGTATACGATCACTAGACCTTCATTATCTTTCTACTGAGTCCACTGCGCATTGCCAAGTTTACGGTACTGGACGATGTGACGATGCAAGAGACAGTTCCCAATTTCATTTCTACTGTGGTCCTTTTCGTGTTTCCTTTAGAAAAATTTGAAGCCTCTTGGAAAGTGTATCTTCCAACCTGCGTTCACCAATTTTGATAATTTTTCGATCTTTTCTTCAGT